AGCAGAACTGGCGCCGACTTCATCGGGCAAACCAGGACTTTATCTCTGAGAGACACACACAAATACACAATCAGCAGTTTAGCCAATACATAACCTAGGACTGAACGCAGTGGAACTGAACGCAGAACCTTTTTGAAAAGGGTTCTTCCATTCTATACAAGCCTGACATCATAGCAATAGCAAAACCCTTTTTGGTGTTATACAGAACCATATACAACACATTCTCCATCAACTATTACACAGTAATGCAAAAAACCATTCAGGCATAAAAAATGGTTCTTTAAGTGTTCTTGTTTCTATACAGAACCATCGTTTTTACTACAGATCCCTTGATAGTTTTTCCCTCCTTACGCGTCTCTGGGGTGGTACTGCAGTTTGAGGATCGGAGAGGGGAACCGGAATCTCTGATCACAGTCACCGGTCAAAACGTCCCATTGAGAAACAATGTTATCTGTGGACGCGCTGACCAGCTTGTGTCCATCTCTACTCCAACTGGACAAAAACAAACAAACAGCAAACAATCCAATGAACACAAGATCGTGTTTAAACAGTCTGGGCAACACATCAAACATTTAACCTCACAAACAAGTTGAAAGGGACAGAATACATCAACAAGTACTTTTGCACACATTAACTATTATAAAAAAAGCAGGAGAAAAATCAAACATTTAGTACAGCTGAGCAACATGACGATATCAATCGTTATCATGATAAACTGTCACAATACGGTTTTAATTAGTATATTGTGAGTATCATTATTATTAATATCTCCTGCCTCAGGTAAGAAACACAGACAGTAACAGAGCAGCACTTCACCAGAGTGAGCAGACGGGGTGAATGTGTGCGCTGATGATTTTGGCGATGCCTCGCGTGAGGAAGTCCCAGATGACAATTCGGCCATCGTTACAACCGACGGCCAGCAGCGTCCCCCAGCGATTAAAGGTGCAGGTCAGAGCCATGCTGATGCAGTCCAGAGTGCCATCGGCCTCCTATCAACAAGATCACAAGGATAAACATAACATAAACATAAACAACAACATTAATAACATGCAATTTCTTCACTGAGCTTTGATGAACATCTTCGTAAAGCACAAACTGAAGCCCTCACCTCTGGATAGTTCTGCCCGAACGACTCTGTAAGAAAGGAGACAACAATATATCAGCTTATATACATCCATTTAATAAACAGATTAATTTCTATTTAGAAGACACTAACAAAGTTCAACTCTGTGGAATCAGAAACATCTTATAACCCCAAACAACAGTCCATTTACAAGATCTTAAAGGGCCCATATCTGGCAAAACTGACCTTTCCTCCTACAGTTTCACAGCTTTGTACAGAACGTTAACACTGTATCAAACACTGTGTTAAAGGCACAGAAACAAAAACAACTATTTTTGGTACAACTAGAAAATGTTAAAAATAATGTATGATATAGACCTATTAAAGAACTGAGAGCCTGCTGAATGATGAACAGCTTACAACACAATTTAGTAGAGAGGTTAGTGTCTAAATTAAGACAAACAATATGACACGATATTTATTTTCTTCAGATATATGAATGTATAAAGGAACAGAGAAAAGAGAGCCAGCAGTGCTACTTTATAAAATACTAAAAATACTATAAATATAATGATTTTTATTCAGTATTTGGCACTAAATCCAGTTAAACAGAACCAAATTTGCTCTCTTTATAAAGAAACATGCAGTTGGTCGGTGTTCTGTAAGTTTGGACGATATCCACTATAAGATCAGAAAAGCATACTGTACTGTATTGTGATATACACTGATCAGGCATAACATTATAACCACCTCCTTGTTTCTACGCTGATTGTCCATTTTATCAGCTCCACTTACTGTATAGGTGCACTTTGTAGTTTGTAGTAACAAAGGTGCATACTTTGTTAGCCCCCTTTTACCCTGTTCTTCGGTGGTCAGGACAGCCATGGACCAGCACAACACACACTAACATACCACCACCACGTCAGTGTTACTGCAGTGCTGAGAATGATCCACCACCCAAATAGTACCTGCTCTGTGAGGGTCCATGGGGGTCCTGACCACTGAAGAACAGGGTAAAAGGGGGCTAACAAAGTATCAGAGAAACAGATGGACTACAGTCTGTAACTGTAGAACTACAAAGTGCACCTATATAGTAAGTGGAGCTGATAAAATGGACAACGGGCGTAGAAACAAGGAGGTGGTCAGAATGTTATGCCTGATCGGTGTAATTTATCATGATAATGATATATATTGTCATATTGCCCAGCCCTAATAGGCCCTTTAATAATCTGAAAGCTTGCTAAAAGGTGAACAGTTTATAACACAACTTAATAGGGACGTTAAAGCCTATATGTTTATATTATTCAGACTAAGTGCTGGTTAGACAGTTGTTTAATAAACTGGCAGTCTGATTAATAACCTGGTGGTCCTAAATTCCATTTAATACAGGCATTAAGGTCCAACTATACGTGGCCAGTTTATCTGACAGATCTGGAGACGTTTGAAGATACGAGGCTGAAGTTCGCTTCCTATTCGAATTTTCCGTTCCACCTTAAACACCTTCTGAAGCGATTGAATGTAACCGCACCATTTAAGGTGGAACGGGGGAATTCGAACAAGAAGCGGAGTATCGGTGCAGCACTGATGCTACTGCTATGATTTAATCGACACGTTTAGTAAAAATATAACCAGACACAGGAGGCGATAATAAACAGTAAAATCAGTGAAAAATGAGCAGATTTATGATTAACGCAGCTGTTTAAACTGCAACTAAGACCGTAAACTGCAGGAGCGCACAGCGCCGCTGTTAGCACCGTTAGCACATACGACCAAACAGCGTTTATAAGGACTTAAACAGCGACTTACCGAGCAACTCGAGGTTCATCTCTGATCTTATTTAACAAACAACCTAAATAATAATCGCTTTTGGTGACAGAAATGAAGTAAATATGCAGAAAAATACAAACACAAAAATCACACAAAACCCGGAGCGGAGACCGCCAAGGCCGAGGACCCCAAAACAAAGCGTGCCTGAAGGCGCCTGATCAAAAAAGCGGACAGTTCACACACAAAGATATAAAAATCTGCTTTAAAAAGTTTGATTCATACACAAATCATTAATAGATTTACACAGAATTCTAATAAAATTCAAAAGTTACCCTAAATCCCAAGAGATACTATTTATGTACAGGCGGAAGACGGATAATCTTACACCCATTGCTGAAATCATAATAAAATAAGAGCTAAACGCATTAATTATCGCTCCTGTATGAAGAGCTAAAGCGGTAATCTAAAGAATGAATATATATTTTGACAAAAATTGAAGTAACACATTTATAGACGCAAGTTACAAAATGTAGCACGTAATAAAATATAGTGTTATTTATAAACGCAATGTTTTTTTTATCAATATGATTAACTTTTTGCTACATTAGAGCTAGATGGGTAACTGAGAGAATTTGTAAAAGAAAAAAGGTGCCATATACAAAAACCAAATATAGCGTAACATAAATAAACCCAATATATAGCGCATTTGTCATTTTTGAATCCAGTCCGCGCAGGCCCGAACACTGCAGACTTCAGCACAGTGCCTCATTAAATTCAGCTCATCAGCTAATTAGCAAGGCCTTCATAAACTGCAGTCAGATGAGGATAAATGCTGAGCTCCACAGCACTTTGGCCCAGAAGGTCCCCTAAAACCCTTTTATTTAATCCATTCATGGTGGAGGGATACATGCAGGGCGCTGTGAGGCAAAATAGTCCCCAAAGGAAACTTATTATTTCAGATTTTCCACTATTTTCCATCATCAACATTCCATATAAACTCAGAAGTCTCGTGTAGGTTCACTGGTGGTTTTGGATAGTAAATATAGTAAACGATCAACCATTTCACACCAGACCATTCTGAATCACTCTGTTTACATCGTAACGACAGAATTATGAAAGAAAAAAGGAAAAATTGGTGGAACTCCCCTCTAAAGATTTGATTAAGCTAATGCTACACCCATTACAAAAAGATATACAATAACACTACAAGAGCCTTTACTATTGTTTTGGTGCTGAAATACTTCAATAATAATCTGTAAAGTTTTCTCAGTTTTATATTATTTCTGCTGTCTTGTAGTATTCTGTAATATTTGTGTAGTGTTTTGTGGCAAACTTTGGTAATTGTTTAAAAAAAAGATTCTTATAGAAGTTCCTGCACTGATATGGTGCAGCTCTTCAGAAGGCCTGTTACAACAACACAATGCAATGTTATTTGTTTAGAAAAAGTCGTGTTTCACTCAGCGAGTACAACATATAAGTAGTATGTATTTCGGTAAAGTATTACGAGTGATTTAAATTGTGAATTTAACGGCTCTGAAGAGCTTTAAATCCATTTAAACACAGTTTCCTAAAATCGCTGCATTTTCACTGCAACGAACAAGCTTAGATCCAAAATGGCGCCTGATGGAGCTCCCCCACTGACCCCCCGTGATCATCCGGGTCTGCGGAGCAGCCACCAATGAGATGCGAGACGAGAAAACAAGGCGGGGCCAGAGTCTGTAGAAATGTGCCTCTAGCAGCTCGAATACCGCACCTGTGTTGACGGTTCAAGCGTGATTTTGGTCCTGAAAACGCCACAAAACACAGCTGATGTTTAAAATATATTAAAATGTCCTCTAAAGCTCTCTGCATCCACGCCACATAAACGTGAGTCCGGCCTGTCTACGTCACAGCGACATGAACCAATCGGGTGTAGGATTGCTACAGCGTGACGTCGCCTGCCAGGGCACGGACGGCATAGACTTAGATTTCTAGTAGAGAGGTCTTCCTTAAAAAGAAGAATTTCACGGATTTCTTATTTCGGTCTCATACTCATGTATTTACTACGCACTTATGATTAAAGTCCATGTTATAATTATTATCCACAGTGTGTAAAAATCAGCGCAGAGACAGAATAAACGTGGTTATTTAAATTATCTAGTAAATGTACATCTATAGCTTTTGTACTTGACGCATGCGCAGTCGCGCAAACCGTTATGAAACAGGCTGATTTTGGCCCGGTTAAGTTAAACGCTGGAGTTGTCAATAAAGCGAGAAACTGTCGTTGAACCGAGAGCACGAAAATCTCTCTGAAATGATTTTGTCACCGGGGCTCACATAAAGACGTGTTTTGCTCCTTTAACTGCGCTTTAGGTGAGTCGCTTTTTCCTAACTGCATCACCTTTTAGTTCCCACTTAAGGGGGAATGTAAACCATCACAGCCTTACATAAGTGGGGGACAGCTGACCTACTTTTCCCTGACTTTAATTCATGAAACAAAGTTTAAGAACTGTTTTTATTACATTTTTGAGTTGCTTATCTTAATAAGAGTCGTTTATTTTCAAATATTCATGACAAATGCTTTTGATTTTTGACCAGTTATGAGGATTTACTGTTGACCCCATATGGGGATTTAATAAATCAGAGTTTATAATATCAATTTAGGAACAGTTATACTGTTTACTGTTGATTATAAACCATAAGATCTGTCACATTTGTGTGAAAGGGTCATGGGACACTAACTAAAAGTAGACTGAATGAAATGAGGTGAAGTAACATTTTATATTTTTAAGTGAAGTAACTAAGAATGGCATATAAGTCATAATTAAACATTAAAGATAACAATACTAAATTTGATTGACCCCTTCTGATCTATGCACAAGAGAAATGTATAAAATCTTAACCCTCCAGAGTAATTATGGCAGTATTAAATATGATATATATTTCTCTTTTTTTATTTTATTGGGCATGTTTTCCCTTTGTTTTATTCTATTGTCCCTTCCTTTCATGTTACTATCTTTTATTTATAAGCCTTTTATTATTTTGTTTTAATCTCTTGGCTAATTGTGTTAAAAAGGCGCTATATAAATAAAATTTCTACTTCTTTTTTTCTTATTTTTATTATTATGAAGTCACTGGTATCTGTAGTGGACGGTAAGTCAGACGGCTGATGGAACAGTCTGGTGCTGTGAATGCTGTTTAATCTGTTTTATTGAATGTGTATATATTTGCGATGTTTCTGAAGGCTCCTCTGCTGTGAGATCATGGCCGTAAACTCCATCTACTGGTTCCGGAAAGGTCTCCGGCTGCACGATAACCCTGCCCTACTGGAGGCCGTGCGGGGGGCGAACACCCTGCGTTGCGTCTATTTCCTGGACCCCTGGTTCGCCGGATCGTCCAACCTGGGTGTGAACAGGTGGAGGTGAGTGCCTCTGTGAATAATTCTTAGTAGTTTCTGAATAATTCATAGCAGATACTGAATATTTCATAGTAGGTACTGAATAATGTATAGTAAATACTGAAAAATTCATAGTAAATACTAAATAATTCTGTACTGAGTAAGTCATAGTAATTACTGAATAATTCACAGTAGATGCAGAATAATTCAGAGTAGGTACCCAATAATTCAGAATAGATACTAAATAATTCACAGTACTTACTAAATAATTTATAGTAAATACTGAATAATTCAGTTGTCGTAATTCATGGTAGTTACTGAACAATTTATAGTAAATACTGCATAATTCGTAGTGGTTACTATGTAATTCATAGTTCACACTAAGAGCAGATGGTGTGTTGTACATTATTAAAGTTTGCTAACTATTTAGGTGTTATTACTGTTTTATAAAACAAAATGTCACAAAATAATAAAAGGCTATATATCAGTGTAGGTTTAGACGCATGCAGCACTATTTTGAGTCCCTATATGGAGCTGTACATGACTGACACTCACTCATCTCTCTCACTCATCTCAGTGATTTAACGATTACGCAGTTATTCACCCCAGCACTTCTCCCACACTCCACACACCAGCGCAGTGTGATCCGCTGCGTGAGTTCTGCTCCAACACACGTGAAACACACACACACACACACACACACACACACACACACACACACACACAGTTTGTTTCTTTGTTTTTTTATTCTTCCACTAGAATATTACTGAATAATATACTTCTCTATCACTCAGATACATTATTGATATAAAATGTTATATTTTTCCCTCTTGTGGCTGTTTGTGTGCTTTTATGAAAAGAGCAGTATGTTTGAAGACTTTAACTATGTTTACATGCTACACAAAATGTGATGTATTAGATTTTGCCTGATATGAGCCCTTTTAAAAAATGAATGTCTACACACTTAAAAAAGATGATTCTTCAGGGGTCCTTTGTAAAGGCAACGGTTCTATTTAGAACCATGAGTCCTATATAGAACCATTTGCATGCTTAAATGATTCTTTGTGGTGGTGAATGGTTTCTTCAGTTTGATAGAGAATGTGGTGTGTGCGGTTCTATATGGCACCAAAATAACCAAAAAGGGTTCTGCTATTGTTGTGATGTCAAGCATGTAACAATAGCAGAACCCTTTTCGGAGCTATTTGGAACCATTTTCACCATGCAGAGAACCATTTAAGCATGCAAATTTTTCTATATAGTACTCATGGTTCTAAATAGAGCCATTTCCTTCATTAAAGAAGCCTTGAAGAACCATCTGTTGTGTCTATGTGTATCACGGTCAAAGCAGTAAAAATAGGCCTCACTTCACTTCAGCTCTGCTTCCTGAGTGGTTTGTCAGGTCAGTGATGCTTGTGTGAAAATATGATCCACAGTCCAGGTGGAAAATCAAACGCATTGCTTTGCTTATTATGTGTAAAAAAATAGATGTTAAAAAAGGCGGATTATATGGACAGTACAGCAGGGGTCATTCGGAGATGTTTCTGGTGGATGACTGTTCAAATCTTAACAAAAATCCACTTTTTTTTTTTTGGAAATACCAGCTGCTCTTTTAGTTTATTATGGACCAACAGAAATGCTGCAAAAATATTTGTAATAAGATGTTGTGTACATTAAAAAATGCTTCTTCCTGCTCTTTAAAAGTTACTATTTCATAAAGTTAAGATTTTGTTACAACGGTGATAATATTTCAGTTATATTAGCAGCAGAAGTTTAAACAGGTTGAATAATAATGGGCCCAGAATTGAGCCCTGGGGAACTCCGCAAAATGCTCAGAAATACAGTTACTCACTACAACATAATATACACAACCTTTTATGCATGATGTAAATCAAAAATGAGCCAAAGGAAGACGGCAGGGGTCACCTGGAAGCAAACCAGAATTTTTTGCCATTTACAGTTCACTTTGTTTGGTGGGACCCAAATATGAGTGTTCAAAATTTGTCAGAGCAAACTAAAATAAAAAATTAATCTGGTCCTCACATCAGATTTTAGCTTTGTGTTGTTGCTATTAAGTTAACTGAGTTTTCTACATATACCTAAAAATTATGACTTAACAACCTATTACTGAATAAAATCAGTGTTCAGGAGAACTTTTCTCTATTCTGTTGTGCTTCACACCAGCTTCATCAGTTAATACCTATTTCAGAATTTTACATTTGTGCGCTAAAACATTAAAATGTAAGATTTTGGGGTGTTTTTTTGAGATAATAAGGTGATAGTTAAGATTAGAATTAGAAGAATATGGTGGAAAATGGAATTCATGTGCCTCGTTTTAGAAATCTTAATTGCTAATATTTCTAAAAATAGATATATCATCTTTTTGGAATTAACTCTACAAAACGTGACAGCACACTTCATACAGATTTAAAATAAATATCGGTACTCGGCATCCGCCAATATCCTGAGTTCAGTCGGATCCCTAGATTTAGCTAAAAGTCTCTGTAAAGTCCTGATAAGCTGTGATATAAACAGTCACGTATTCAGTCTTGACTCAGTTCCATTCATCTGTTCCTGTTTCACTCACACACATTCACAGACGGCTGTGCGTCTGATCTCCATTCACCAGCAGGTCAGACTGTGAATCGGCCTTAATCTGAAATCCCTCGCTCCTGATTGGTTAACAGGATAAAGGCAGGGGATTGGCTGCATAGCAGACAGGTGTACATCTGTCTCCAACACCTGGGTTTATAAAGATTAAAGCCACTGCTAGACAAAAAAGGTCCTACAGATTGGCGCAGTGAAATGCAACAGCTAAAAAAAGTTCATTCAGGGAAACTGCAAGCAGAAAAAATAACTTTTACATTTTACTTTTGGTGCATGTGTTCTCCGAGTTTGCCAGAGCACAAATCTGAAGATTTAAAAAAAAAAATTGATCAAACCACTTGTCATATGAAAAAGTCTCATCATCACATGACAGAATTCCAGTAATATCTTCACAGTGGTGGTGATAGGAACCAGACATCCACCTCTAAAAGCTCCCTCACAGAAAGTTCCTACATGAAATGGTTATGAATTCACTGCCTGATGACTGAGACACTGTTTTATTGTAGTTGGAGAACTTAAACTCCATTCATGGTGGAGGGATACATGCAGGGCGCTGTGAGGCAAAATAGTCCCTAAAGAAAACTTATTATTTCAGATTTTCCACTATTTTCCATCATCAACATTCCATATAAACCCAGAAGACTCGTGTAGGTTCACTGGCGGTTCTGGATAGGAAATAAAATGTCTGTATTTGTTTTGTAGTCATGGCGACCCCTGGTTCCTATCAGCACCGCTGTAAAGAAGTTGTAAAGAGTCTCTACAATCAACGATTTCACAATAAACCACACCAGATTCCTCTGTTTACATCTCACACGTAAAATATGCAGAAATAAAATGTAAAAAAATCAGTGCTGTTTCTCTTTAACAAAACAGACAATCCAAATTTGACAGTTAATACAAGTATGAAAATTGCATGTAATTAAAAAAAACTCAAATGGGATGTTCTTTAGCGGTATAAAAACAATATTTCATCATTTTGGACAAATTAGAACAATCTCTGTGTCTTTTTCTCCTCAGTGTGCTACATTTAGCTGCTGGACCTGGATGGGTTAAACTGTAACTCAGTGGTGGTTTACTTTAAAGATCGCGTGTTTTTTTCACATCTATACGCGATTTAGCGAACACAATCATAAGTTAATGTTAATAAAGGGTGTTTTATGGTACATTAATGGTATTAGAGCGGAGTTATAGCGGTGTTTTTCTGCGTAAACAGCGCTGATGCTCAGTGTGTTTTGGTGCTAATGCGATCGTGGGTCAGTGTGTCAGTGCGCGCGCACGATGCCCTGCGTCACCGTCTCCATGGAGATGACCTACTTTTAGCGGGAAGAGCTAAATCCAGCGGCGCGCACACTGAGAAGGAACAGAGCCGTTCAAACTCGCTGAACGCGGTTTATTTATATTATTTACTAATCTATAATATTCAGTTTCGCTCGGTAATCGGTATCCAGAGCTATACTGTACGACAGCAGGGAGTTTAGTGCGCTGTATGGAGTCTCTCGCCCTCTCTTTACTTCCTTTTTCTTTCTGTCTTTTCTCATGATCTCATCTCTTAAAGGAGAACTCCAACCATCTTTCCCCAGTAATTCAGTGGTGGTGATAGGAACCAGGGGTCGCCATGACTACAACACAAATATAGACATTTTATTTACTATCCAGAACCACCAGTGAACCTACACGAGTCTTCTGAGTTTATATGGAATGTTGATGGAAAATAGTGGAAAATCTGAAATAATAAGTTTTCTTTGGGGACTATTTCGCCTCACAGCGCCCTGCATGTATCCCTCCACCATGAATGGATTTTAAGTTCTTAAAACTATCATAAAACAGTGTCTCAGTCATCAGGCAGTGAATTCATAACCATTTCATGTAGGAACTTTCTGTGAGGGAGCTTTTAGAGGTAGACATCTGGTTCCTATCACCACCACTGTGAACAATTCTGTTGTTCAAGAAGTTTCTCCAGAACGGAGCATTTCACACAAAACCACTCTGAACGACTTTACATCTTAACAAAAATCCATTTTGTTCATGTCTTTTGGAAATGCCAGCTGCTCTTTTCATTTAATTACAGCAATAGAAATGTTCCAAAATTTTTTGGATCTTGTGTACATTAAAGAATGTTTCTTCCTTCTCTTTTAAAGTTACTATTTCATGAATTTCAGATTTTGTTACAACAGTGACAATACATCAGTTATGTCAGCAACTTTATATAGGTTGAACCATAATGGGTCAAGAATTGAGCTTTGGGGGACTCCACAAAATGCTGCATGACATCCAGAAGAAGAAATACTCACTACAGCATATTTACAACCTTTTAAGTAGGATGTAAACCAAAACTTGCAGCTGGTTAAAACCCAGATATGCAGCTGGTTAAAGTTAATCTAGTATCGTCTGTAACCTCATAAGTAATTTGGAAACTACTGCTATAATTTTATATTTTCCAGCATGAGCTGAGGGTTTTACCATAGAACTCCGTGGTGAAAATTTCTACAGAAAACACCTATTTTATCAGACATGTCTGTGTTTTTAAGGTCATGTAATATGTTTTCACAGTTGTAGCACATCCGTGAAAAAGGCTTCTGCGCCTCCAGAGCAGAATTTCTTATTTTGCTGTATTGTGTCTAATGCATTGAAATCTCTTACATTACAGTTTTAAAAATAAAGGTCAGCAAAACTACAGAGAGAAAGCTCACCACCAAGCGAAAGCTAACCGACAAGTGAAAACTAACTCAAGCGAAAGCTACCCTAGCAAGAGCTTCACTCACACTGTTGTGTTTAGTTCTGCTTCAGCAGTGTAGCAGACAAAAACTATCGATCAGGTGTGCTTATTAGAATATTAGGCCACGCCCACACAGTTCTTAGATCAGTCTGATCACGTTTATTTATATTATTTATATGTTTATAACTGGTTTTGTGTAACTAGTTATACAAAAAAAGTCCTAACAAACATTTTATACTTTACATTAATTATATTAATATTTTACATAGTGTTCCTGAGCCTGTAAACAAGATTAGTGTAAGATGATGATAAAAGTAGTATGTACACATATTTGGACAGTGTTAAATAAAACCACATGCACCTACTGGAGGTGGTATATGTAGGTCTCTCTCTCTCTCTCTATCTTTCTCTCTCACTCTCTCTCTCTCTCTCTTTCTTTTCTCTCTCTCTCTCTCTTTCTCTCTCTCTCTCTCTCTCTTTCTTCTCTCTCTCTCTCTCTGGTGTGGGTGGATGTAGGACAGGGCCGCTGTTGTATAACTGCTGAAGTGGGAGCAGATTCGTCACCTGCTCTGTATTTGTGGGTATTCGTGCTCGTGTGGATGATCGAAGGCCCACAGAACGGTTACAATGATGGAAGGTCAGCTCACAAAAACACTGACCAAAAGGAGCCTGATAAACCCGACCATGAGCAGATGTCCACTTCTGACGTGAAAAACTAGTTTATGCATTTATTAGCTCAGAAAAGCACTAACATTAGAATAAATACAAAGAGAGAGAGAAATAATCTATTATGATTGTTCTGTGTGTGATATCTTAATCATTTCCTGCTCTCTCTTCAAGGAAGCCCAGTATTCAGTTACCATCTAACGCCTGCTTTATCTAATCTGTACTTCATTACATTAAATCAGGAGCTGCTGATGGACCGAACAAACCCATGTGTTGGCTGGAGAGCAGAGAGAACTCAGGGACCAAAACTGTTCTTCCAACCCATTTATAAGATGTTTAACTGATTTATTCTAATCTTATACAGAGTTTCACTGGCAAAAACACAGTTATTGTCCATAAATAGTCCAAAATGATTTGCACAGTACAATACACACTTAAAAACATGGTTCTTTAAGGGTTCTTTAGTAAAGAAGCAGAAGAACCCTTTGCTTGATTAAAGCGTTCTTTGCATCATAAAATGGCTCTTCAGATTAATAGAGAATGCGCTTTAAATGGTTCTATATGTATGGATATGATGTTCACAGTGCTTTAGTACCTGTACAGTTATTTACGTGTGGATGTGCTGTGTGTTCTCAGGTTCCTGCTGCAGTGTTTAGAGGATCTGGACTCCAGTCTTCGGAAACTCAACTCTCGTCTCTTCGTTATCCGCGGCCAGCCCGCTAACATCTTCCCCCGACTGTTTAAGGTAGCGCAGCACACCTGTACACCCACCTGCTCAGTCGGGATGCTAATATGGCTTTTAATGTTCGCTAACATTAAAGCTGTCTGTAATGCAGTCAGCTAGCTGGCATAGCTAACGCTAATCAGCTGTATTTTTCATCGCTCAGAGCAAAACTCAGAGCGCAGTCACGAAAGGAGTAGTTTCAGCCTTAATGTGGCCAAAAATTTTTAAAAGGAAAGGTTCCACCCACTAGTCAGAACTCCCCCAGTCACATGATACCCCCAGCTCTAGGAGGGTGAAGGCAAACAGTCTTCCTCCGAGTCCGAGAAGCTCCACTGCATCTTTTCAAACTGCCATTAATGCAAAGTCATTGTATGGCTGAACGCCCATGGAGGAGACGCTAACCACCAGTTCTGTTACGTCAGCTAATTGACGCCTGCGCTGACACCGCGCTGATGGGGGGAGACGGGGGGCCATCCTGCCCACTCAGACAGAGACAGCTCTCTTGGACTCCTGGGCCGGGCGGCTGTAGCATCACGGGATTAAACTCGCGATCTCCTGATGATGGGGCCAGCGCTCAGGCGGTCACGCCGCTCAGGAGCCCAAACCGACTTTTCACGTAAAGCGTAGACGAGTTGCTGATCACGTAATTATGACACTAAGGACATGGACGCCTCAGAGAAGACAGTAGGTGAGGATCCTGGTGATTTTTGGTCCGTATCTCTGATTTCCTGAAGGCTAGCGATGTGATCCAGGGTTCGTTGGAAAGCGCTTTACTGACCTGTTGAGTTTGGTCATTTCACCACCGATCTACAGAGCTTCAAACATCAGATACTGAACATCTTTATCTCTGGTGTCCTGGAGACTAAAAAGTCCTGTGTGGTTGAAAAGGGAGTGTCACACCCTGTAATTCTGTGAAGGTTAAAGTTCGTCACTCTTATTTTCACTGAGTTACGGTGCTCTAAATTTCTCTGGCTCTCTGGATCTCCACTGCGGGTGAGAATCTGGGCAGGGCCGCCTAGGGTGCGCCTAAGTCGGATACAAATTTGCAAGATTCCAGAGTCCGTATCTCCGGTTCCCTGAAGGCGAGCAATGCGACCCAGGGCTCGTTGGAAATGTCACGCTCTACTGACCCATGGAGTTTGGCTTCATCACAGGTTTTTGTGGTCGCTTGTTGTATAGCATTCCCTTTCTCCTGTGGTGTTCTTCATGACATCTTCAGCAATTGGTTGACGTTGACGCGACTGTCATCAGCTAAACTGAAAAAAAGACAAAATCTGTCTGTGTAGCTCTGTGGGCGGAGCTTCTGAGACTCAGATTATTATAGAAGCAGCTCCGTAAATCAACAAGTAACAAAATAACAGGCTTTAAAGCTTTTACACACACACCGCGATTTAGTGGCTTGACGACAACCAAGATGACTAATCGGCTGTGTTCCAGCAACAAAACTTTTGGACAAAAGTCTGTTTGTTAGTTTTGCGACATGTAGAATATGTAGTCTGTGTAGTTTTGATGTGAAAAATTCCAAATATTTCACATTTTCAGTGTGTAATGGCCTTTAGTTTCATCAGCCGATATCACTGCTAGCTGTCCAGTTGATTTAAACTTTGCTGCCCCCTACAGGAGTGGAAGATCAGCCGGCTGACGTTTGAGTACGATTCGGAGCCGTTCGGGAAGGAGCGCGATGCTGCTATTAAGAAGCTGGCGTCTGAGGCAGGCGTGGAGGTCATCGTCAGAATCTCACACACACTCTACAACCTGGACAAGTACGAATCACACACACACTCACACACTCACCGCACAGCGATACACACAGTTTATGAAGAAAGTAATGTTAAACATCTCGCACAGAACCCCAAACGTTACCTTCTTCACAGTAACAGACCTCTGGAGTCGACTTCATGACCGTATTACAGTATAATAATATTATATAATATTATTTTCTATGTAGCAATAGTACAGTGTGTATATATAGTACAGTAGCAATTTAATTACAATATAATGTGTATTATATAGTTTTATAAAAAGATAGTAATTACTATATTATAGTAATAATGCATTATATACTAAAATGCATACATGTTGCATTATAGGTTCTGTTTTATCTGTTTCAACTTATTAAATCTCAGAAAAACTAAATATTGTGATGCATATCATGTTTCGTGAAAATGTCTTGCCATATCGTCCACCCCTAACTGAAATGACATCACACTAAAGTAAGTCTACTATTAAACCTGCAGGTCTGAAATATACTTGGGTGGAAAACATAAAGAAAGTCCAAACTCATTATTCTTTTTACTTAATTGGGTTTTCAAATAAGGCGAATATGGCTGGGAATTAAATAAGAAATACGTTGTGTTTTATCTCATATTTTTAAAATGTAATTTTAGTTGATATTGTGTCTCATGTCACACAAAATGTGCCACTGGGACACAAAATAAACTGTTCTGGGAATTGTCCAAATAGGACAAAGTACATGTGGGAGGCCATCTGTATATACTTTGGGTGGGGTGCCCAAGTATAACCTATATGTGGCAAACACTGCTATTACAGACCAACACCAGCTCCTCAAACTGCAGCCTAAAACTGCCTGTTAGGAATTGAGTTATTGTCTAGTTTTCTGTTCTTTTTCCTTATTTTAGTTGATTGTTCCTTGGTAAGCATGTTATTGCTGAAGAGTTGTTTTGAGAAACCAACTATGTTCTGTTCTCATAGTTTGAACAGCTACAGCAAATTATCTAAAGGACAGAAACAGAACACTCAGTGAATGACATCAGCTCTGTTCTGTGTGACTCTCTTTGGGGTGGAGAGATTTAGAGTATAAAGCTGGTTGTCCAAAACTGGTCTATAGACAGGGGTGATGGTGGCAGAGATGGACAGAGCACTCTTTGAATGAAAACATCATTTCTGTGAACCCTGGTCTCCTGAGTCTCTTCCATGGCGAGATCAAAGGTTTACGTCGTGCCCAAGCCTCTAAACTACCTCACTGGACAGAGCCTCCTGAAACTGAAACTGAAAACTCAACCATGAGAACGGAAAAGTCACACATATGTTCCTGTTTTGCTTGCATAAAAGTTCAAAAATGTGCTGTATTATAAATGTTAATAACCTCTCTCTCTCTCTCTCTCTCTGTCTCTCGCTCTCAGGATAATAGAGCTGAATGGGGGTCAGCCTCCGTTGACCTATAAACGCTTTCAGACGCTGGTCGGCAATATGGATCCTCCAGAGGCGCCGCTGGAGCCGCTGACGCTGGAGCTGATGGGAGGCTGCACCACGCCAGTCTCCGAAAACCACCAGGAGAAATTTGGTGTACCTGCACTGGAGGAGCTTGGTGAGGATTAGGAATAGTTTCAGCTATTTTAGTTGATTAGCTATTTAGTCTCATATTGTATGCTGTTAGTATTGAGCTTTACACATACAGTATGCTAAATTATGATTAATATCACCTTTGTTAGAGAAATAAAAATGCATTTTCCATTAAATATCAGCTTTTTTCATCAAAAACTCATTAAATCCAATAACCATTACAAATATAAATAAAGCATTTTGGAATTAAACTTTCCAGTTATTAATGTTTTATACTATACATTGTAATCAAAGTGAAACTGTGTGTTTGTCTCAGGGTTTGACACCGAGGGTCTGGCTCCAGCTGTGTGGCCCGGGGGGGAGTCGGAGGCATTGGCCAGAATAGAGAGACACCTGGGCCCTGACTTGTCCACAGTACGTAACACGCACACCTGTCTGTCCACATTAATGCAATAGACAGATCAGTGTCTATGTTGACATGTTTGGTGTCTTTGGAGCTACAATTCTAATGTATAGCCTTATAGCTAAGTAATGGAAACTAGCATTGTGCTAAACTCCATCTTTACTAAAGTGCGTTAGCCTAGCTAAAACAGCAGTGTCAGCCATCTTAAACCCTGATTTTCTGACCGCATGTCCTGTGCTGCCCCCTGCAGGCATGGCAGGAGAACTTTGAGCGTCCGAAGATGAACTCTAGCCCCCTGCTGGCCAGCCCGCTTGGACTCAGCCCGTACCTGCGCTTTGGCTGCCTGTCCTGCCGGCTGTTCCACTCCAAACTCACCGAACTCTACAAACGGGTCAGACAAACACACGTTCACGCACAACTCAAGCACAAGTATTTGTTGTGTAGCACACAGTTTAGTTTTCTTTAATGCTACTAAACTACTAAAATGTCATGCTTTTTAATATTTATTTTATATGTGTGTGAAAGGTGACATCAGGTGGAATCTTTTTTTTGTGTGAGGTCTTTAGGGGTAAACATCTGATTGATTAAGCAGACACTTGACCAGATTAAGCTGTATTAGCTGCTGCTTAAGCCTCTGTTTGATTCTCTCCATCACTGTCACTCAGTGCATCAAACCAGATTGATGCTTATTGTCTGAAAATCTGTTGCATTTTACTCCCCATTTATATGTGAGTGGAGTGTCTAAGGCTGAGACTTTCCGCTGAGTAGCTCGTCTTTATTGATATTGCTTGGAGCAACATATTGGCCTTTATTCATCAAAGCTGCATACAGTCAAATCTGATCGTAAAAGGAGTGCACGCAAATTTCACTGACACTTTTGTCAGTTTCATCTTTGGCATATCTGTACGGTCAAACTCACGTCTGGTACGTCGTGAGTAATGGTTGATTACAACTTGACAGAAATGATTGGTGAAGTAAAAGTTAGTAACAGTATCATGTATAATACAAATAACAAGATTGCATAGAAAATAACAACAATACTAATAATTTGTGCACCAAATGTACTTATTTTACATTTTACTTTGTATAAGCAAATGCTGTAACTGTTCCATGTTCCACTTCATTACACACCACCCTAAAAATAGAAAACACAGCTAGTCAGAAGCCTCTCTTACAGTGCAATAATAGTGTTTAATTTTATTTTAGGAAAATAATAACACCAGTTAATCCCATGATTCTACCTTGCGCTCATTGCTCAACCTCAAACTCTGTCTGTAAGTACAGCTCGTGAGCCACTTAAAGCTGGCTTTCTACCCAAACATATGAATGAATTAGGGTGTGCTTCATGTAAATGATATGTAAATGAGGTGCTGGTGGGCTAACACTTGATTTTATAAACGGAAGCTGATTTATTATTTGCCCTCAAATCTTCACTCCATTCCGGGGTGTACAAAAGTCTCACGAATCAGACACAGAGTAGTTCGTACATCATTAAAAGCGGACAAACCTGCACTCTTTTTTACACAGCTTTAATTTAAGGGCCATTGACTTTCTGTTTTTGCTGTAAAGTCAGTATATATGGCAGTCAGGGCAAATCTTTTAAAGTAACTTAAGTCAAGTCAAGTCAAATTTATTTATACAGAAATATGGTCTTTCCTCATACACACTTCTTTCGTTATTTGCAGGTCAGACATTATGTACAAAAAAACGTTCCAAATTACATTAATAAACCAACAGATCATCCATTTTTTTAAATTTTTTTTTATTAACCTTTACTCTCAGCACCTAATATCTAAGTTTGTTTCACTCTTATTTTCCTCCCCGGACACTGACCGCTTCAGGGAGGCATGGGCTGCAGATATTGGCACTTCTTTGTCCAAGGAGGTCTGGGAAGAGAGTCTGTCCAGAATCTCCCATTGCTCTAGCAATTCAAAGTACAGGCTGATACAGTTCAAGGTCCTGTATAGACTCCATTACTCAAAGACTAAGCTATCTAGGATCTGCGGATCATTGTCTTCACTTTGTGACAGGTGTGAGATTGCAGATGGCACCTTGTCTCATCGGTTTTGGTTCTGTCCAGTCTTTTTTGTGATTTTTGGTCCGATATATTTTTTATTTCTTTCTAATCTACCTGACATCCAAGTGTCTCCTGACCCTGTTGTTGTGATTTGTGGCTGTTCTGAGTCTATGGTTGTTTTTTCCCGAATTCAGCAGCAGGTTCTAATGACCAGTATGGTCGCTGCCAAAAAGGTCATTCTTCTTAACTGGAAATCATCCTCAGCCCCTTGTTTTAAAAGATGGCTGTCTGAGATGACACACATTGTCCAGATGGAGAGACTGAGATGCTGTGAAAAAAAAGCTCAGAGACATTTTCGTTTGATGTGGAATAAGTTCTTGGACAAGTTAAAGGGACCTTAGTTATGTTTTTCTTTCATCCTCTCCCTCCTTTTATTTATTTATTTATTTATTTATTTATTTTTTCTTCTTGGTCTGGTGTTGGATTGGGGTGGGATATGGGAGTGTATTCAAAATGTTTCTGTTTATGTTATAAATGTAAAATTATAAATGAAATATATATATATATATATATATATATATATATATATATATATATATATATATATATATGTGTGTATTTATATAGCGCCTTTTACAACAGATGTTGTCACAAAGCAGCTTTACAAAGAATCCGGGTCCACGGCCCCAATGAGCAAGCCTTGGTGACAGTGGCAAGGAAAAACTCCCTCAAGCCATGCTGCAGTAGCTGGAGGTTTAGGCTACAACGTTAGTTAAAACAGTTAAAGCCAGTGAAAGTTCTGCTTAGTCTCTCAATCAGATGTTTGTCCCTAAAAACCTTGATTCCTCAATTACACCTGACTGATCCTAACATTGATCTTCCAAAAATTCTCAGTTGTATTTTCTTAGCTGCGCTATTTAAGACTATTGTGACACATGCAGTCCTCCACCCACAGGTGAAGCAGAACGGAACTCCCTCTATCTCTCTGTATGATAAGCTGCTATGGAGGGAGTTCTTCTACACGGCCGCCACCAACAACCCACGGTTCGACAGGATGGAGGGGAACCCTATTTGTCTGAGGATTCCATGGGAGCGGAACCCAGAGGCTCTGGCCAAATGGGCTGAGGCTCGGACGGGTTTCCCCTGGATCGACGCCATCATGACCCAGCTGAGGCAGGAGGGCTGGATCCACCACCTGTCCCGACACGCTGTGGCCTGTTTCCTCACCCGCGGTGACCTGTGGATCAGCTGGGAGGAGGGTATGAAGGTGAGAGAGCGAGAGTGCATGTGTGACACTTGCCTTGCAAAAGATAAGTGAATGTAAGCAAGGGCTTACATTTTATTGTGTTTATTGGGGACAGACATGGGCAGGGACCAGGACCAAGACCGGGACAGACACTAAGACAGGGACTGGGATCGGGGCAGAGACAAGGGCCAGGACTGAGACTAGAACAGGAATTGTGACAGAGACCAAGATAGAGACCAAGGCGGAGGTCAGGATGGGGAACCAGATGAGAGACAAAGACTGGGGCCGGGGTTGGGACAGAGACAGGGACCAGGACTGGGACTAAGACAGGAATTGGGACAGGAACCAAGAAAGAGACAGAGACGGGGGTCTAGACAGAGATAGAGATAGGGATTGGGATTAGGATAGAGACTGGGATCAAGATAGGAATTGGGACAGGGACTAAGATAAAGACAAAGACAGGGTTCAGAATCAAGACAGGAACCAGGACAGGTTCTGAGACAAGACAGGGACTAGGATCAGGACTGAATCATAGCTGAACAAGGCACTTAGAATGGCTGTGTAATAGAAACAAAAAATCGAGTTGGTAAACTGATTCAACTACCAAACATGGAGCCAAACTAGAAACCAGGTCAGCAACTGTGAGGGAGCCCAACCTGGAACCAAACCACAAATTGAACCGGAAGCCTAACTGGCGATCAGAAGGGGAAGCCTAACTATCAGTCGACTTGAGAACAAGCAACAGAGAGGGTTGTATCAGGAACAGCAGTAGGAAAGGGAGCTGGTCCTTAGGCTGATGGAACAGGGCCAGTTCAGGACAGTGGACTGACTGAGAGAACTGAAATAGATCAGGGAACCGAACCAGATCTGGGAACTGTACAGGCTTTGGGAACTGGGCTGCTTTACAGGACTAGACTCGATCAAGAAACTGGACTGCTTTAGACAACTTGACTGACTTCAGAAACTGGACCAACTGAGGGAACTAGACAGAATCAGAAAACTGGACCACATCAGGGCATAAGACAGGCTTGGGGAACTGGACCAGATAAGGGCACTTGACAAATCAGGAAATTGGATGGGCTCAGGGAACTGGACAAGCTCAAGAAACTGGGCCGACCCCAGGAATTGGACTAGATCAGGGAACTGGACCAGATTGGAAAATTGGACAGGTTTGGGAACCTGGACTGATTTAGGAAAAAGGATTGACAGTGGGAATTGGACAGGTTTAGGGAACTTGATTGGTTCAGGAATCTAAACAAGATCAGGAAACTGGACTGGCTTAAGGAACTGGACCCACTTGGGTGACTGAACCAGATCAAGAACCAGGTCTGGACAAGCTTGGGGAACTGGACTGGATCAAGGGACTTGATTGGATCAGGGAACCAGGTAAGATCAGGGATCTCAACTGCTTTAAGGGAACTGGACCAGATCAGAGAACTGGACCACATCAGTGCATTTGACAGGCTCGGGAACCTGGACCAGATGAGGGCACTAGACAGGCTCAGGGAACTCGGCCAGGTCAGGTTACTTGACAGGCTCAGAGAATTGGACAGATTTGGGGACATGGACTGACTTGAGAAACAGGATTGACAGTGGGATTGGACAGTTTCAGGAAAATTGATTGGTTCAGGAATCTAAACAAAATCAGGAAACTGGACTGGCTTAAGAAACTGGACCCACTTGGGTGACTGAACCAAATCAGGAACCAGATCTGGACAAGCTTGGGGAATTGGACCAAATCAAGGGATTTGATTGGATCAGGGAACCAGACAAGATCAGGGAACTTGACTCTTTAGGGAACTGGACCAGATCAGAGAACTGGACCGCATCAGGGCATTAGACAGGCTTGGGAAACTGCACCAGATGAGGGCACTAGGCAGGCTCAGGGAACTGGACCAAATCAGGTTACTTGACATGTTTAGTATAATGGACTGGCTAAGGGGAACCAGATCAGGACAAGCTTGGGGAACTGGACCGGATCAATGGACTCGATTGGATCAGGGAAACAGACAAGAACAGGAAACTGCACTGCTTTAGGGAACTGGACCGGATCAGCTGCTCTGTAGTAAATGGATCTGTGTTCTGTGTGTGTAGGTGTTTGAGGAGCTGCTGCTGGACGCTGATTGGAGTGTAAATGCGGGCAGTTGGATGTGTCACTCCTGCAGCTCATTCTTCCAGCAGTTCTTCCACTGCTACTGCCCTGTCGGCTTCGGCCGCCGCATCGACCCCAACGGAGACTTCATCAGGTGCGGAATACACACACAACCGAGGATACGCACCTCACAAAAGTTTTAAGTTATGGGGTGAAGTCTTTACTAAGTCCTTAGTTACACTAGTTGGTTTCAAACAATCCTTTAGTTAATTTGGTAGCACCACAAATCATTAAGTCGTATCTTAACTAGTGACAACTAACTAATGCGTACATCGCTTTAATGCTTTTTTGGGCAGCTGTTTCAGCAGTGGGAGGTGTGGAGGTTAGCTTCATATTCTGAGTTCAAACCAGGATATTGATGAGCGCTGTAAGTAAAATCACAGCATATTGCATTTAGTGTTTTTAGCTTCTTTAACCAAAAAAAGTCACGTTTGGTCCTTTTTTGAGTTTGCTGTGTGGTGTCTGTTGGTTTCCCCAACACGTACACCTGCTCAGCAGGTGTGTAAATATTTAGTAACTACTAAGCTCAATGTTAAAATTAGTTTGTGTGGTGCAACCAGTTTTGATTTAGTAACACGCAAACCTGAACTCAGTAAACACTTAAGTTACAGCTAGCCTACGGTTGAACTTACATACGGCTGGGGCAGCCGACCCCCGAGGACATGTGCCACAAACATACTGTACACAGACTTTAATTTCCACTTCAGGTACATTTCAGTCACTATTTTACTGTAATTATCTGAGACATTGATGTAAGAAATCTGAAGTTAAAACGTTTTCTGTAGATTTATCTTTTAATCTTAGTTTATATACACTAAGTCTGCATTAGCTTAATTAAAACCGTTCAGGCTTTTGGAGAAATTTATCAACGAAACATAAAAATTCTTCCCTGAAAGTATCTTTAGTCCAGGAGCAGAACGAGTCTGAGCTGTTCTACCTCGCGGCATAAGGTCACATGTAGTTAAAGTTGATTGCAACACTCACTCTGTCTCTTCTCTCTCTTTTTCCCCTGTTCTCTTTTCTTTCACTTTTTACATACCTTTCTTTTCTTTTTCTCTCGTTTCTCTCTCTCTCTCCGTTTTTTCTTTTTCTCTCTCTATCTCTTCTCTTTTCTCCCATTCTTTTCTTTCTCTGTCTCTAAACCTCTCTTCTTTTGCTTTCTTTGTTTTTCTTTTTACTCTTCTCTCTTTCCCTCTTTTTTCTCCTTCTTTTTACCCCTTTTTGTTTTTCCTTTTCCTTGTTCTCTTTTCTTTCACTTTTTTTATACATTTCTCTTTTCTTTTCCTCTCTTTATACCTCTCTTTTGTCTCTCCCTGTTGTCTCTCTCTCTGTTTTTCTTTTCGCTACCAGTGTATGCTGCCTGGAGATTCTGTGGTAGCTGTAGTGTGTGTGTGTGTGTGTGTTTATACTGTGTGTGTATGTAAGTGTGTGTGTGAGTGCGTTCAGCCTCCGGCCGTTGTGATGAGGCGCTGCGGTTTAATCTCTCCCTGTGCTTGCAGACGTTATTTACCTGTCCTAAGAGAATTCCCAGCCAAGTTCATCTACGATCCCTGGAACGCTCCGGAGGAGGTGCAGGTGGCAGCGAAGTGTGTGATCGGAGTGGATTACCCGAAGCCCATGGTGAACCACGCCGAGGCCAGCAGACTGAACATAGAGCGCATGAGGCAGATCTACCAGCAGCTGTCGCGCTACCGCGGCCTCAGTGAGTTAGTCGAGCAGAACAGATCTTACACCTTGTATGAGTGACTGTTCTGTATCAATAGTGTGTCATTTGGTAACCGATTCTATTTGTTTTGAACAACTCTTTTGAGTGAATGAGCTGAATTGATTCATTATGAAAGATTCATTATGCTATACCCAGTACTGTGTCCTACGTGACTGTCATTGCTTTAGCCTATAAATGTGTCATTTGATGCAACAGCAGTTCTTTTTGGTGAATGAACTGAACTGATTCACCTTCTCAAAGATTCATTCTGCTCAGCTATTGCCAATACTATAGCCAACACTACAATCCTATATCAGAGATGAGTCATCCCCACACAGTTCATTCTTTTAGATTGATTCTTTTGGCTGAATTAACTGAATTGATTCATCATGAAGATTCATTCTGTTCAGCTAACTTTTTCAGCTATAGCCAATGCTGTTATCAACATGACTATATAAAATATTTGTGATGTCTCAGTTTGTTTAGGTTCAAAACACAGCAGTTCGTTGTTTTGGAACAAATCTTTTAGAGGAACAAACAAAAATGATTCACTTTTTTAAATGATTCATTTTGCTCAGCTTTCTTTGCAAATGACTCTTTCAGATGAACAAACTAAACTCAACTTGAAAGATTCATTCAAGACTCAGTTACAAGCAGTGCTGTTGGCAACATGGCTACCCTGCATAAGTGATGTTTTGATTGCAAATCAACCTGAACTGATTCACCTTGAAAGATTCATTCTGCTCAGCTAAATTGGCTCAGGGTGTATTTTATATAATCACAGCTTTCTTTCTCTCTTTCATTTCTCCAATAGGCCTTCTTGCTACTGTGCCATCGAACCATGTGGAGGATCTGAACATGAACGCGGTCAGTGGGACAGCGCCCTCTCCTGGCAAGCGCAGCAGAAGCAGTGTGCTGGCTTACAGTGAGTCAGCTCTGTTTTTTGGCTACATTTGTTTAAACACTGAAATCAGGAAGTTTTATTGGTTATTGGACGTGTTTAATGCGATCAGAGGCCAAATTTTGGTCAGACAACTTTTACTGTCGTAAGAAAACTGCGTATCTTCGAGCTTTATATGGGAAAGAGGGGGAAACGGTTTCTAAATTTAGTCCATTCATTATGAAATGTTCAAACAGTGTAACAGGCAGCTGGTGTTAAAATAATGTTCAAAAATATATATATCGTTTGAGGCTGTATTCACTGGCACAAATCATGCCCTTTAACAAGCTGTGGGAAAATAACCATTTACTATATTACTAATACTGTATTTTTGACAGTGAATTTTTCATAAAATCTCCCACACCAGTCTGGAGTGGAGATTTGCCACATTCACACTGAGGTTTAGTTCAAAAAGTCTCTGGCAGGGTGAACAAAGTCCCTATAGGACAGTCTGTCCACTCAACGACCATCTCGGCAACTCCGCCGGGCAGTTATTCACGCTCATACAAGACCAAACTTCTTTCTCTTTGAAGAGGTAGAGACCTATAAACCCCAAACTACAAGCCATATTGATGTGAAAAACATATTTGAAACTGGACAAATAAAGAATAAATAGCCTCCAATCATGCACAAAAAACATTTCTTCATTTTTTTCAGCTTTTTCTGGCTACTGTGGATGCGCAGATCTCCACCACCGGTGGGGGCCTTTTCCTGATCATGGTGTAGAAAGCTGATTGGCTCTTTTTATTGAAGGGCAATAATGTCTCTGGTGTGAAACAGTGCGTAGCCAAGCAGCTAGCCTAACAGATAACTTCTCTACCTTTTACTTGTATCAGCTTATGGTTCGCTTGAGGCCAGCGTGTTAGCTCCTAGTTATCTCAGGGCTAGCGTGTTAGCTTGGGTTTAGCGTGTTAGCTTGGAGTTAGCATGTTAGCTGATGGCTGTGATGGCATGTCCACTAATCTGCACAATCACCCATCTCATAAAGTCAGTAACAGTTCAGTGCTTTTGGGTTCAGTGCTGTGGTTGTTAAGTGTTTTTTCTTCCACTACATCTTGATTTTGGACCATTTTAAAGCAGTTTTTGTTCTATGCTGCTAAGAATGGTCTGAAAGGATCAGGCTAAACCCCACTGTGACATTCTAACATCAGTAATATTGGACTGTTATGATTAATATCCTAATATTTCTAATAATTTCTACAAGATTCTTACAAGAATCTTGCAGTAAACTTGGACAGTTACTATAGATTATTACAGGATACTACACCAGTAAATACCACATATGCAAGTAAATATTATAGATTATTTTAATGGTATACAGCACTGTAGAAATCTTAGAGTTTCTTATGTATTACTGCAGTTCTTTTTTGTAAGAGTATCAACAAAAAGCACACTTTGCGAATGGATTTACAACATGGGCCACTAGGGGCGCATTTGTAAGCTGTAAGTGCTGTAACTGCTGATGTAAGTTTAAAGGCTGTTGTTGCTGTATGTCCTGCAGGGGGCAGGAGAGAGCGGAGGGTCAGCGCAAGCAGCCCAGAGGAACAGCCTGGACCGAGCGGCGCCAAGCACCGCTCCATCATTCACACCCTCGGTACCGGCACACAGCGCAGACCACCCACTGTTTACTGATGGTGGCAGCACGATTGCAAATACTGCCTGTAGTGTTAATCTCTGTATTCTCCTCAAGCAGTGTCCAATTTCAATAATCTGAGTCTGTTGCTCTTCTGTCCCTCTCAGGCCACCGTACTGTACCCAAACTCTCCCCCTCCCACGGACACAGGTTCGCCGTGCCTCATAACCCAGGTACTCATATCCTCTCATATCCTCAGCTCCTCCCTGCTGTTACACGATTATTTATTTCTTTATTCGTTTATTTGTTTCCGTCTGTTTGTTTGTGCAGGTCACCTGAGTCGACTGCCGGGGTCCGGGACGGGAAAGAGGGAGCGGGAGGCAGAGCGTGGCGGTAACCATGGCGAAGAGCATCCTGCCTCCTCTGCACTAAAGGTCCAGCGCCACAGCAGAGAGGTCAGTGTGAGGTCACACTGGAGTCACACGGTCATAAATCATAAGGAAAATCATGTTAAAGGAGGACGTCCGTGTTTTTAACCTGATCTCTTCAACACGTTTCCCTGAACTTAGAAAACAGCAGAAACTCTAAATTCATTGTAATAGAAGTCAGTGGGGAGATGCTGCACCACTGGCCTCTATTGTATATGTGTTTTAAAGGGCCAGCATGATGGAAGAACACAGTTTTCTAACTTTATTTGCAATAACGAAGTTTTATGTTCTACACTCTTAGCAAAAAGGGTTCTATATAGTACCAAATAAGGGTTCTTTGACTTGTAACAAAAGTGGAACCCCTTCTGGTCCTATATAGAACCCTTTTCAAAAAGGTTCTGTGTAGAACCATCTATAGCACATTCTCAGTCAATCTGAAGAAACATTCACAATGCAAAGAACCCTTAAATAATGCAAAGTGTTCTTTTGAGTGTTCTTGGTTCTATATAGAACATTTTCTTGACTAAAGAACCCTTGAAGAGCGTATGTAAATATTGTTAGATTTTCAGAATATACGTTCACTCCTCAGTCCACGTTCTGTTTATGGAAGCAAAGCTGCTCCTTTAAAAAGGGCCCATATTCTATATTTTTATTTTATTTTATTTTGGCCCATTTATAATATTTGTGTGGTTTTATGTACCAAAAACAGCCACAAATTATTTTAACATAATCACTTCCAACCACTTTCTAGCCATTAGAATTAAACAGGCTGTTCTTGTTACTGTGCCTAAAGCAACGAGCTCTGTTTTGATTGGCTGCTTTGTGTAGTTGTTCATTCAGAAAGCAGTCTGGGCTGAAGTGCTCCTTATAACTTCAGTATGACTGGGCTGGGCTAAACAGGCAGACATGGGCAAATGAGTTGTTTTTCTTGACATGACAAAAACAGTTAAACTCAAAATGGGCTATTTTTGCAGCTTAATTTGCTTGCATTGCATGGGAACGAATGGTACATTAAAAAAATATTTACATACAAAACCGAATTGTTAAAAAAAGGAGGAAATTCCAGTTTTCCATGATATGGGCCATTTAAATATATTGTTTTTGTGATGTCACAAAAAACAACAGATTTACATATATACAGGAATATAACTCGGCCTGTTCACACTGAAGTTAATAATATAAAATTTTGTAAGATATGGGTCTTTTAAGTTATTACTGTCTGTTATGCTACAGATGCAGCTGAGAGATCAGGTTGAAAATGCTGACATGTTCCTTTAATTTAGCTCAGTAAAACATGAACATAGCAGTTATAACCAGACTCTGACTGTTTATAAGTTTATAACGTGTTGTTTTTGTTTGTTTGTTTACCAGGAGAGTTGTGAGGGTCCAGAAAAGGGTCAGTCTTTCTCCTCGTGAGCCCCGCCCACCCTGACGAATATGTATTGCTGTATTATACATGTGTGTTGAAACACGTCCTTTCATTTTTTGTACTTTAAACGGCCCTTCAGTGACTAAATTTTAACCAAATTTGTTATTATTGTAGTATTTTTCATTGTAAAATTGTAAGCGCCGCTAAATCAGCTTCATATTTCAGGAAAAATCAAAGATGTAATCAGGTGATGTGATTTTAAAACTCGTCCATGGTCGCATTTTATACTCTCTCAGAAACCCAGAACTTCAGCCCGTCTCACTCTCGGCACCGTTGGCATCTCAGCTCGGCGCCGCTGTGCCTTAGACTCATGATAAAAAGGCCAGCAGAAAACTTTTAATATTTATGTGTAGTGAGTCGATGGCAACAGCGGCGGGAGCAGCAGCTTTTTACACTGTAACGGCTTAAAAACTTAGAACCTGAAGGGGAATTCCACCAATTTTTTCAAAATTTCAAAAAAAAGTATACAAAATTTCAGAAAAATAGAACCTAAAGAAAACTGAACAACAATTTAACATAATTAACATTACATATAACAACTCAAAAGGCATATATCTTCTCTGATTGTATAACAAATCTTGCCCAATTCTATCTTTGAGTTGTAGTCATCGTGATGTTTTTTCATCTAACATTGTTAAAACAAGAGAGTAAATGTCTTTAGAACTGACATTTGTTTACAAAAAGCTGTCTTTGTTGAAATATGAAATTTTTAAAAATCTGTGGAATTCCCCTTTTACTTTATCTCAGAAGTGTTCTCAGATAATAAGATATTAAAGTATTTGTCATCCAGTGTTCAGCCAGATCTCATGTGTACTGTCTAAATCTGTCTGTCTCTATGGTAACTGAATATTTGACGATATTTGTCTGATGATTAGTCCAGGGCTGGTCAAGTTTGGGTCCAAAAATGCACATTTGACCTCTCCGGGTTCCGCCCACAATGTGTTCTTTCATAGCTACTGTTGTGAATTCGGGCAAGCTTTACAGAACACCGGTAAAATCAGAATCCAAATAAAAATTGTATCACAATCCACCTTGTTTTTCACTAGACCACTGTGTTTGGAGACTATAGCTGAAATATCCGGTATAGGAACTGAAGTGTTGCTCGTTACTGTTTTTTAGCGAGGTTAAAGAAAGTATGTTTTCTTTTTAAGTTATTGTTTTGACCCATTAAACATCTGTGAGGTGTTTCTGGGGCAGCATGCGGTTTGTGGCTGTCAGCACAGCTGAGCGAAGATTAAAAGGCTCAGCTGTTAGAGTTGAAATCTGAGCCCTTAAAATGCAGCCAGTTAAACTTCACTGTTTACTCCTAACAGACTCACTTTAACTGGTTCACACTTAATATTCTCTCTGTAACTGGATATATTCTGCCCTCACCAGCAGGCTGAGCAGGTAGCAGGAAGCTAACCAGCTGTCAGGCTAATGCTACAATAATAATAGACAGACTAAAAGTTGAAGCTTTTAAAAGAAGCATTGCTTAAAAAGTGAGATATATTATTTTCATGACTGTTATGAGCTAAAAATGTCCATATTTAAACCAGAGCTGACATAAAAATGCCATACAGTGCTGAGCAAGGCTTGCTAGCTTGATGCTAACATATCTAACGTTAGCTACCATGGTAAACAAATGAGGAGCATTCTCCTAGCGTGGGTTTAAAAACAGATTTCTACATTAGACATCGCTGCTTTATGGTTCTCTGTCTGTGACTCAGTGTAAACACAGTTTATTAGTGTGAATAACCGCTGTAGCTGTGAACAGGATAAGCACTTCTCTCATAGCTTTCTGTTCACAGATTGGTTAAGCTACAAACGTTGGCACACACATATTCGAGCACAACAACCATAAAGTTTTATTTTATTTATTTATATTTTTATTTATCCCCACGTTTCTGCCATGTTAGGATGTTTTAAACATTCAGCGTATTGTCTGTTTACACTTCGCTGGAAGTTCTGTCCCTAATTCACTCAAAGCATCATGGGGTGCAGGAATAAGGTGGATATCTACATTTTTACCAGCGTTCTGTGAAGCTTGTCCAACCTGGCAACAGTAACTATGAAAGAACACAGTTGTGGGCGGAGCCTGGAGATGTATAAGGCTGGATGATTGTGTCAGGGCTGCGTGTTTCTGGCTCTTTATTTATTTGAAGGTCGAATCGCTGTACAGAGTTTATTTGCGTGCTAATTAGCTTCTTCTTTGCAGGTCAAACCAAACAAATCCTGTTTTCTGTCAGATGTTGCACATTTAGGTGTTTTTTCTGCTCCAACACCTCTGATTCAATAAGCAAATAACATTTGCTTTCATTTGAAATATTCTGATTGATTTTCACCTCTAGTTTTCAAAGAAGTGAGAAAAATTAGCATAAGCAGTTAGCGTGAAGCAGCTGTTTGCTAATATTGTATATTAAGAGGAAGTTTTGCCTAAATAATGATTTGAGAATGGTTTTCATTCCCATAGGCACGAATTGAAACTTAGCAAACTTAGCCAAAGCCTATATGCTAATATGCTAAGTAACTGCAAACCAATGAAGCCTACCTGCTAATCTGTATTAAAAACACTTAGCTGTGCCAAAACGTTTGACTGCTGGTGTTTTTTCCATCTTTAAGATGCGTCAGAGCAGAGAAAACACTCAAATGTGGAGAAAGTGGCATTGAGAACTCTTCCGAAGCTCCAGAAGAGGCGGTTCTAGATTAGCTCAGTCATGCTACTGTGGTTAAACGGCATTAGCTTTAGCCTAAAAGCTGCATCACTTCATTGTAGTCTTCCATCCATCCACTCTATACCCGGTCCAGTCCCTCTGACCAGCCCACTGACCCCATCTGTGTAAATATTCCCCTATGAATCCTTTTCCTTCCCCACCTTTTAGCTTTTTCTACACCACTGTTTTTCTTTCTCTACGCTGTAAATTCGCCATTTGTTGATTTTCTTTTTTTTTTTTCTACTGAAATTTCGTAGCTTTCTCTTCTCTCTGCTGAGTTTTAAATTTATAAAAATAGACTTTAGGACTATGATGTATTGTACCAGCACTTTGTCCTGCAGCTTCAGTCTGTGTGTGTTGTACCGCATTACGCAGAAAATAAAGCAAAGAGGAAAACAAACGAGTGTCTCTGATTTGTGTGTCTCTGGCTGTAAAAGGTGGGCGATATGGAAAAACATGACATCATGATACTTCAGATAGCATGATATTTAGTTCTTCTGAGGTTTGTGAACAGATTGGAACAAAAACTCACAACACTACAAACTTAAAGATGGTTCTTCAAGGGTTCTAGCTGTCTGTCCAATACATGTGAATACATGTGAACGTGTTTTACTTTCCTGATAGCGAGCATATATATCGGTCCACTGGCTTGACAAGGTTGGCACCCCACTGATTGTTTGCCACTCCTGGTCCCCCCTCGGACCACTCAAATTACTGTCATGCATACGAGTTTTACCTAGTTTTTAATCAATAATTTTGGAAAATATACTTAGACAAATATTACAAACAAATGAGAGAAAAAAAAAATAATGACTAGGCCTGATATAAAATGATTTTATGGAAAATGTTGTTGCTGATGCTGAGCTAGACTAAAATTGCTTACTAAACTAATTTACAAAGAAAAGAAGGAAGGAAAATCAGTAAATTGGACTGTGAGTGGAAACTGAGTGATGATAAGTGGAATTTTGCCTAATATTCTGCTTAAACACCGGTGGGCCGCCCAGAAAACACTAAGCAAAACGGCAGTGGACCACCAGCTCTGCCATCAGCGGGCCGACAGTGGTCCACTATCCTCTTAATATCAGTGCTATATAGAACCATTTCACCATGCAAAGAACCACTGCGCACCACAGCATGAAATGATTCTATAAAGAACCGGTGTTTCTAAATAGAACTAGTCCCATTGCTGAGGAACCCTTGAAGAACTTTTAAGTCTTATTGTAAGAGCGCAGGATTTTATCTGGGTGACTGTATTTACTAAACATCATGTTAATATGATGCCTAAAGATAAATAATGTTACAGGGCAATGTTAAGACCGGTTAGCTAGTTAGCCTTTCTTAGCTGATCTGCTGCCGGTTCTGTTGATAAATCAGTCAGAATAAACACAGCTCTGATATTACTGATTAAACGTTCTGTGTAAAGATAAATGGTAATGCAGTGCTTTGAGTTGTTTCATTACAGTTTGCTGAAAGATCTCGTGTTAAAGACGGTGAGTTTCTCCTCAGCAGCTAACAACACTCCAGTGTTAGCTTTAGCGTTAGCTCAGCTTCCGTCGCTAAAACCTCCTCATTATTAGACACGAAAACCTGATGTTTTTATGGTCAGTTACTGAACCATTTCCTTGCTTTCATTAATGTAAACATGATTTACAGAATACATAATGTTTTTGTTTATTTTTTAAAGATGCTATCAGGTAGCCTGAACTGAAAATCTGACAGACATGGTAACGGTAGGTTAGCTAAGGAAAGCAGGACTAATCCTTCTTAAACACTTCAATTTTGTAAATAAATAAATAAATAAATAAATGTACAGTAACTTTTCAGTCTTTTTTAAATGTACATGCTTTAATAAGATGGTTCTTTAAGGGTTCTTTAGTAAAGACAATGGTTCTATATAGAGCCATGAAAAGCAAAAGGAAAGCAGTTTTAATCCTAATGTTTCCAACAGTCTTTTTTCAGCAGGCATGTACTTTAGTGATTAGAGATCTTGTATAATATTATTTTGATGAAGTATTAAGGAGATCATGAGCAAGTCACTCAGTTTTTCACATCTGGAGTCACAAAGTATTTCTACTTTTAATACTACTTTTGTACTTCTACTCAAGTAACAGGAGTCCTTCTACTATTAAGTTCAGAAACTTTTGTGCTTTGTCCAGATTTGGTGATATTCAGTGTACTTTAAACAATCGTTCTGAATCGAACCAAAATAATTGTGAAATGTGAGATTTAATGATAATTTTCTAATCGAATCAGAATCAAATCTGTAAGGAACACAATGCGAAAGACTTTTACTGAGCGATGAAGTGTATCTTGTGACATTTGCCAACATATTTGGCGTTTTATGTTAGGAGTTTTCATTAAGATCATAATTTGCTTAAAACAAGAAGAAGAAGCAGAGGTGTTTCAAGTTCCATATGGCTTTATTTTATATAAAGATATTTCAGTCTGGAACATCCCAGCAAAGAGAACACAAACACACGCGCGTGGTGGAAAACCTGGCACTTTGCATTGTACTGCAGAAATTACATAGAAAACGTCCACATACAAAAGCTAAAAGGCTAACGGAGAAATAAGAAATGTCTTTGGATCGACTGGACAAACGGGACTTTCATAAAATAAATATGTTCTATTTTCTGTGTAGAAACAGTAAAATCTGGATTCAGGAACAAAACTAAACTATGAAATTGTCTGCATTAGTAAAATAAAACATACTTATAAAATGTTTCCACAATATTCGCTACCAACTTTCATCGTCCTGTTGTGTTTGGAAAAGCAGAATTAACATTAATAACACAGAGACACACCCTGAACCACGAAACGCTGGAAACTGAAACCGCTAAAACATTGATAACATAGCAGAAACGAAAAGAGGAGAATAACTAGCATTTAGCGATTCTACAGTCACTCAGAATCCAGTCCTGCTCCAAATGACAAAGACTTAATGATTATTGCCTTTCAGTGACGGTAAAAGTCACCTGTGGTCCCAATTTATATGTTCAGAAACCCAAAGCAGCTCAAAAATGCAGTTCAGAGCATTGCTAACATTGAACGAACACGAACAGCCGCTGATTAGCGTTAGCGTCACGCAAAGAACACTGTGCTAACTGGAGGCAACGTTAGCATGTTTGCTCAAGCTATTCCTTTCAGTATGACTGTCTTAGCGCTGTTAGCGCCTCAGCTAACCCAGCACCACTGCGTTTGCAGTAACAGCGGCTTTTAAACAGTTTCAAAAAAGGCGGTAAAGATAAAAAGAGGAAAGAAAACTGAGAAACGAAGTTTGTTTCAACCCTGACGGTAAAATAATCTGTGTCAATCCAGAAAATACAGATTGCTGTGCTGACGGCTCAGGGGCGCACTGTCCTTCTCCATGGTCTTTATCATCTTTATCATCATCATCATCATCATCATCGTCGTCGTCGTCTTCCTCACTCCGCTTTGTCCTTCCTCTTCCCTGTAACTTTGCTGGCCACGGTTGAGCTCACGGAGGCCACGCCCCCTGTCACAGCCGAGACTCCGCCCTTCACCAGGCCGACGCCCACTGAGGGTGCCGAAGTCACGGCCGATTTGGTCATTTCCAGGCCTTTCCCGCCCAGCCAGGCCACGCCGCCCACCGTTGCCCCGACAACGCCCTTGGTGGCGCTGTACAGCCCGCCGGTGACTCTCCACAGGACCCCAGGGGCCGGACCCTCCTTATCATCCTTACCCTCATCTACAACACAAACACAGGTCAGGATTAGCATAGAAAGCCTCAGAATCGCCGATCCACATGATATTTTTATAACTAGTACAACCTCATCAACACCTGGGCTCTTTATTACTGACTAATAATACATTTAAAATCAACAAGAAATTGAAACTGACATTGTTTACTTTGTTATTTTACTTTGACTTCGTTTACTCTGTAGTCTTATTAACTATGAACCATCAACTCAAATCATTTAAAGGACTAAATTCTGTTTTCTTGTAACCAGTATTTAGCATTTTAGTCTTTATTTGCTGAATTTAATATACCAGTGGAAAAAACATCAAATTTGGCATTTTTTAAAACAAGAGTCAAGAAATAAGAATTTAATCTTTTAAATGATATAATGACCAAATTTTTACTATTATTTTCTAACACACATATATATATATATATATGTGTTAGAAAATAAAATATATATATATATATATATATATATATATATATTCTTTTTTTCTATTAATTATTATTCATTAATATATAGACTTCTTTTTACACTGTTTTCGCAGTAATTTTAATAATTTTTATCATTTATATTTTTCAAATTATTATTTACAGTATTCTGCAAAAATTTCAAATTTCAAATTCAATGTTAACATCCCTCAAGTACAAGTTAATCATTTTTCAGGAGGTACACTGTATGGACAAAAGTACTGGGACTGTGTTTAGCTTTGCAGTTTGCTAACCCATAACCGAGCTAACATTAGCTACATTACTTAAACGTGGCGTCCTGTCCTCAATCATTATTGGCCGATTGTGCTGAAAGATGATTAGCGATCAGCCTCGGTCCCAACAACACTGATCGGTCCATCTCTAATACACATTACTTATTTTATTTTTTTAAATAGTCAATTCAAATTTTGTCACGCATTAATTTTATGTTATTAATTATTGTTATGCTGAGACTGAAACTGCCCTGTAAAAGGTCCATTTCAGGCTGTAACTGTTATAAAAATATTTCACCTATTGCATCAGAGTTCAGTCACAGCAGGTACACACGAAAACACACCAACTCCCCGGATACACACACACACACACACACACACACACACACACACACACACTGCGCAGTGTCTCCTGTTCGCTCCCTCAGTGCGTTGAAGCCCACAGACTGCCTATTTATACACACAGAGCCAAGGGGCTGGGAGCCGGGGGGCCGGGAGGTTGGGCTGTAAGGGGAAATGGGGGGTTACCTGTGGTGTTTTGAGCCCCAGTTTGAACCGTCTCTCTCTCCAAACCTCCTCCGACGCCGTGCTGCACCTCACAGTGAACGTTCTAGAAAACAGAAAGAGGAAAACAGGCTGTAATACAAACCGTGTGTTGTTAAAGAGCCCGTATCCTGCGTTTAGCCTGAACTCTATTTTTAACTCTGAGGTACTTTTATGTACCAAAACCGTCATAATTCATTTCTCCATTATCATTTTCCATCTTACAGTCAAACAGACTGTTTCTGTTACTGTACTTTTAAGATAAACAGTCGTGTGCAAATGTCTGTGCACCCCTGATCTAATTGCATGTTGTTGTAAATGTTGTAAACAGGTTAAAAAGTCCTCTACAGAGACACAGTACTGCACACTTTAATACGCAGTTACTGCTTATTTACTGAATTAAACATGCTGGGATAAAAGAAAACATAAAAAATCCATGTGCAAAACCTGTGGCTTGTTTTATATTTTGTTTCCCAATAATGATCTTATTATGATCTTATATAAGTTTGAAACATGGAATTTGACCAGGGGTGCCCAAATTTTTGGATACAACTGTATACATGATATATGTCCATATGTAAATAAGCTCTGTTATAATTTGGCTGTCCTGTACTGTGACTTATTTAAAAAACAGTTGGCACTGAAACACTCCTTATGGAGCTAAACTGCTGTAGGATGAATGGGTGGAGCTAACCTGCTGTAGGATGAATGGGTGAAGCTAAACTGCTGTAGGCTGAATGGGTGGAGCTAAACTGCTGTAGGCTGAATGGGTGGAGCTAAACTGCTGTAGGATGAATGGGTGGAGCTAAACTGCTGTAGGCTGAATGGGTGGAGCTAAACTGCTGTAGGCTGAATGGGTGAAGCTAAACTGCTGTAGGCTGAATGGGTGAAGCTAAACTGCTGTAGGCTGGATGGGCGGGGCTAAACTGCTGTAGGGCAAATGGGCCTTCATATGTAAATATGTCGATTTTTGTGACATCACAGAAACAGTGAATTCAAAACAGGCTGTTCTCACAGACTATACATACTGGACAGTGAGCTGTATGTTTCAAATTTTTAACTATATTTGCGTAAAATCAAACTCTTATTTAAAAAAGTCCAGGTAAATGGAGTTTTATGTGATACAGGCCCTTTAATCCTGACCAGAAACCAGCCCAGAGCTCAGTGCTCGGCGCTCAGCCTGGACAAAAAGATGGAAACATTTCACACTATGTTGAGAGAAATAGCTGAGCTGCTTCAGGTAAAGATCAGCCAGTTAAATCTCTCTGTTTTACTGTTAGACGAAATTCAGGCTGTTTCAGACGATCCACAATCACAGCACAGAGCAGTAGACATGATTTATATCTTTTATAGGTGCCAAATCCTCAGAAAGAGTAAGAGAAAATAGTCCAGCAGCTCTGGAAAAGGCTGAAATGCTGTAAACTGAAATGTGCAGATAAAAAAAAAAATACAAATTATCAAATTAGCTCACTGAGTCCTTCTTAACTACAGTCAAATCAGCATTAAATTACAACAGCTTTGAACCTGAAGAGTCACTTTATTCACATTATTCAGAGTCAAAACCCTGAACATCTACAGCGATTACAGCTTTAATATCTTCACCATCATCTTAAGTCTGATCTAATGTTATCGTACATGTGCTGTGACAACGTGTGCTCCATCATAACAGAGCTAACATCTTTAATATCTTTAAATTTGACCTAATTTCACTGAGCTTTTGCAAATAATAAAGCTGTTATATTATAATACTGTACTCTAAAACTCTTATTAGAGCTAATATATCTAATATTTCTATGATTCTTATTGGAGATAACATTAAATATCATTAATATCTTTGATAAACTTATTACAGCTGATATATTAGATATGTTTAATATCTTATTAGATCTAAGACCTTATAATAATAATAAGGTCTTAAAAATATAATAATAATAACTAATATCTTTAAGAATCTCATTACAGCTGCTCATATACACTCTTCAAAAAGAAGGTTCTTCAAGGGTTCCTTAGCAAAGACAATGGTTCTATAAAGAGCCTCGCACATTTAAAGGACCATCTGCATGCTTAAATGGTTCTCAGCATGGTGATAAAATGGTTCTTCAGGCTGATGGAGAATGTGTTGTAGACGGTTCTGTGCAGAACCTTTTTGAGAATGGTCTTATACAGCACCAAAAAGGGTTCTTCTTTGCTTGACATCATAATAGCAGAACCATTTTTGGTGCTTCTATATAGAACCATGCACAACACTTTTTCCATCAAGCTGAAGAACCATTTCACCATGCAAATGGTTCTTTGAGTGTTCGTGGTTCTATGCAGAACCACTGTTTTTACTAAAGAACCTTTTTTTAAGAGTGTGCACAGCTGTTCTGTTAGTCTTATTAGAGCTAATATCTCTAATATCTCTAAGGAGAGTGAGCAGCCGTGCAGTACCATATGCATCTCACACAGAGGTTATTAAACAGATTTATCTCGCGCACAAATCAAATGCAAACACGGTCAGGTGAGAACAGCGCGCGCACTCTTACCTTCACCATGTTTACTGTTCTTTTCTCTTTTCAGCTCGCACTCACTGGAGCATCTCAGGGCTGCACGCGCACCAGACTAACTCCTCCACTCTTCCTCAACTTCTCTCTCTCCCTCTCTCTCTCTCTCTCTCTCTCTGCCGACGTGGCGCTGCTGCTGCTTGCCGCTGTTGGGGTTGCCAGATTGACAGTTTCCAGTTGAAATCCCCTTCACCTCACTGTAATTAAGTCCCCGCTCTGGCCGCCAGAGGGCGCGCCTGGCTCACCGGTTGCCGTGGTTACGGTGTTAGCGCCTAGCTTAGCTGCTGTGTTCTGTCACAGAGAAGCAGCAGCCGCTAATATTTGGAAGCAAATTAAAAAATAAAATTAGCTTTTATTACAAGAAACTCTCGGTTACAGTGTGGTGGTTTAAGGTAGTAGTTCGGGTTTACAAGCGTTACAGTCTGTTTAATGCGCTCCTGCGATGATAAGGCAGGATTTTTTATCCCGTTCCACCTTAAATGGACTTAATAGGGCAACGAACACAAGCTGTGGAAGGCCCAGATGTGCAGTTTAGCACAGATGACATAAATAAAGCCCAGTATATATTTGATAAGGATCAAAGAAGTGATGTAAATGTTTCAGTGAAGGAACTAAGCGTGTGAATTCACCGCTAACCCTTCAGCCATCGCGCTAGCATGTTGCTGTTCATTCTCCGTTTCAGTACTTTTATCTTTATTTCATTTTGATCTTTTATTTCGAGTTTTGCACTCCTCTTTAATCAGACTATTTTATTCTGCTTTTATTTAAGTGAAGCACTTGTGAAGTTGCCTTTGTGTTGAGCTTGTTGAGTTTGTTGAGCACAAACAGAATAAAAGTCTAAAAGGTTTTTAAATGACACAATAAATTGTATTCTTACAGCTTGAAAAAGAAATGGCCTTACCTTTACTCAAACTCAATATTCTGTTAAAAATGAAAAAAAAAATTCTCAGTGCAGAACTTTAAATTAACGACGAGACTGATTGATTAATGTATTTATTTATTTATTTTACCAACGCAAAGTAGCTAAAATGAACCCAGGTGGGTTCTGCCTAATCTGGCAACCCTGCGCTCCAGCCCGGATCTTGCGTCACCTCTGTTCCGCGTGTGTCTCCAGCGTGGACAAACACATGCAGATGGAGGAATAAACAGAACAGAGTTTACAGCCTGAATTCATCAAAGATCTTATTCTGCGCTTCTCCAACTCGACAAAAGCTTCAACTCTTATTATGAAAAACACAATGCAAAGTAAAAGTCACTGTAAAGCGACCCAGTTCCAGTTTCTGCGATAAAACTCTAAAACATTTGGGTTTCTAAAGCAGTATAAGGCATTATGAAGATTAAAACTGAAGTTTAATAACTACAACAACAACAACAATAATAATAATAATAATAATAAGTTATATTTGTAACTCTAACTGAATACAGGTTAACATTTTGATCCTGCTCCAGCTCTGAACAGCCCTGAGGGAAATACCCATCATTCTGCAGTGCTCTTGTTTACCTGTCTCAGGTGTGTTTGAGTGGTGGGGGGTGGGGTAGTGGTGGCCAGGGTGTCTGAGGAGCTGGTTAGTAAAGCCCTGTTGTTCAGTGTAAAACATGATTTCACACAGAAACACTGCACAAGCTGGAAGCTGACCTGACTGACCTGACTAGGAGAACAGTCTGAGAGTTCACTAGAAAGTTCTGGAACGTCTGAGCAGCTCATCAGCAGTGAGGTCATCTACTGTCTGACTGCTCTATTCAGCTCCTCACTGTGATGATGCGGCTGAAATGGTGTCGAATAAGGTCAAAGAAATCAAAGTAGTCCAAGTCCACTGTTTACATTTAATTATATGACATACGGCTAGCAATATGTGGTGATTAAATAAATAAATAAATATTTAAATAAAAATATTTACAAATGCAACTAACATACAAAGCGCAGTAATTTTATGCATGTTTTATTATTTCTGCTCTCTCGTGGAGGAAGCCCTGTATTATTTGTGATTGCCATCCAATATGCTGCATCTAATCAATAACCAACAGCATTATTAACTGCTTTAGGCATATATACACATATGTGTGTGTATGTGTGTATATATATATATATATATATATATATATATATATATATATATACACACACACATACACATACATATTGCTATATTACTCAGTATATGAAACGTTATACAGGGTGTCTCAAAAGTAACTAAACACCCATATAAAATGAAAACGGTTTGGCAGACAGTGATCCAGTTTCAGAGATCAGGAAACGTTCCATGGCCTAACAGGTTCCCCCTCCTCCCCCCACAGCTTGTGTCTCAAACTAGATCACTGTCTGCCAAACCGTTTTCATTTAATATGGATATTTAGATACTTTTGAGACACCCTGGAAATAGGATAATTATAACTAGCAGCAACATGAACAGCACCAGGAGCTGAATGAGCCGAACATAGACAGATTTATTAATGAGATTTATTAATTCTGCATAAAACCAATGACAAAAACATCAGACCTGAACAAAAGGAGGGTTCACCCAAATACTTTCACCCAATCTGCATTTATTTCACTGACAGCAACAGCAAACTCAGGAAGCACGTGGAGAAACGGAAGTGTTTGTGATTTGGAAGAAAACTGCAATAACAGGTATCCACCACAAGGGATACCTCTTACCCACAACCCTCCTCTATAAATGAGACACACTGGAGTGTTGGCTTCTCTTTGGAAAATACGAAACGCAGAACTCAGAGGACGCGTCATCAAACATGAGTTCAGACTATGAATACTGCTCCAGAACCACCAGTGAACCTGAGTTTATATGGAATGTTGATGATGGAAAATAGTGGAAAATCTGAAATAATAAGTTTTCTTTGGGGACTATTTTGCCTCACAGCGCCCTGCATGTATCCCTCCACCATGAATGGAGTTTAAGTTCTCTAAACTATCATAAAACAGTGTCTCAGTCATCAGGCAGTGAATTCATAACCATTTCATGTAGGAACTTTCTGTGAGGGAGCTTTTAGAGGTGGACGTCTGGTTCCTGCAGCATGCAGAAAAAACAGACTTGACGTCTGTGTCTGAAGTGCTGCGGTGTTTCTGGGACGCACCGTGTTGTTCGTGCAGGCTGAGTGGACAGTCTAACCTGTAAGTATCAAGGTGTTCCTTCTTGCTCACGCTATACAGAGGTAGAATGTGTGAAACGAGTAACTTCAGGTGGTCCTGCAGCAGTAATTAGAAGTGCAACTAGCAGCTAGCAGCACTAGAACAGCTGAAGCTGGACAACTTTCTGATTAGCCTATCAGATGCTGTCCTTTCTTTGGCTCACAGGTCAGAGAATTTAATGTAAACTGTATAAACACCTACCGGCCACACCACCTTGTATCTATACTTGCTGTCCACTGTATCAGCTCCACTGACCGTATAGGTGCACTTTGTAGTTCTACAGTTACAGACTGTAGTCCATCTGTTTCTCTGCATACTTTGTTACCCTGTTCTTCAGTGGTCAGGACCCCCATGGACCCTCACAGAGCAGGTACTATTTGGGTGGTGGATCATTCTCAGCACTGCAGTAACACTGACGTGGTGGTGGTGTGTTAGTGTGTGTTGTGCTGGTCTGAGTGGATCAGACACAGCAGTGCTGCTGGAGTTTTTAAACACCTCAGTGTCGCTGCTGGACCGAGAACCAAAAACACAGTTTCACATCTCAGCTGTGAAGTTTGTACGTTGTGATCCGTTTCTATGCAACTTCAGCGACTGTGGTGGTCCGTGTGGATCTCCCGTTCATCAGTGGCGCTGGTCTCTTTGGTGCTGCAGTGTGAGGGTCAGTATTTTACATGGCCTGTCCTGTGATCTCCGGCAGGCGTGGGGTTTCCTGCCCCCAGCTGCAGGGGCGGCTCTGAGGGTCAGAGCTGAAGCGTTTGGAGGGCTGGTCCTTCTCACCCAGCTCACGCTTCACACACACGTCCACCGGCTCCTCCGCCACATCTGAGAGAACGGACACAGCATCATTCAGGAATTCAACTATAAAGCTCGTTAAAAACATGAGTTATTAAAGCGACAGTCCCCTCAGACTCCGCCCACTCTTACCTGAAATGTATTCGATCAGCCAAGACATGTTAGGTGTCTGATGTTTACATTTGGACGCTAATGTAGTTCATAAGTAACGGAAGCCTTTTCTTTCTCAAGAACACAGTTAAAAACAAACTTAGGAAGATACTGAAGAATGAGGCTCATTGAAGTCTCTGCTAAAGCCTGAGTAGACCGATAAATCACTGTGCTGATCAGTTAATCTGATCATTAGTAAATGCTTACTAAAGAGTGATGACTGAACATGTTTTAGAGTGTTAAGCTCAGTTTTGGTGCTGTACTGTACTTGTGTTTATGTTCCGTGGCAGGTTACATACATATTATTAACTGAAAATAACACAGCAACTCATTTTATAGTCAAATTTTGGAAGGTTTTGTTATTGGGGATATGATGAAATATTGGCTTAAGTCATGAGAGACAAAATAATGTTGAGAATTTTCTAACCATTTTTGTATCAATATAAATAATTGCATTTTTCATGAAACATATTATCAGAAGAATTACATGAACAAATCTGCCAACCAGTAAAAACAGTGTGAATTAAATAAAAAAAACACACTTTGTGTGAAATATCTTACTTTTTTATGTATTGTGACGGAATATTTAACTGAATACATTTAGGTTGGTGTATTCAGTATTCAGCCATCACTGCTTTTATGAAGTATTCTGCCCCACTCTGTCTACATTAGCCTCGTAGCTCCAGCGCTAAAACTAAAGATTCAGACACCTTCAGACACCGGACATGTCTTGGCTGACTACACTCAGATGGGCTGGGGGATTTTGATTTTTGGCTGAACTATCCCTTTAACCGTAGCGCGAGTGAGTGTGGGTCTCTGACCTCGTGTGAGTTTGGCCGTGTTCTCCTGGCGGCTCCGCGCTTCCTTCATCAGAGCCAAATTCCTCTCACTCGCCTCTGCATGGCAAACCATCGGCAACGGATAGTCCTCACCTACACACAGTTTACATGTTAATGTAAAGGGGAATTCCACCAAATTTACCAAATTCCCACATTATGCAGTGGGTAAGATGTAAACAGAGCCGTTCAGAGCGGTTTGATGTGAAACGCTCTAGTTTGTGGATGAATGATGAATGTGTGAATGGATGAAAGACATCAGAACCTTTTCACACCAAACCACTCTGTTTACATCTCACACACTGAACTACGGGGGAATTCTGAAAGATGGGTGGAGTTCCCCTTTAACAGGATAGCAGAATAATGCTTTCTGTAAAAGAGAAATGCGTCAAAATGGGAAAGACTTCATGTTTCAGTTTCTCAGGTGGTGGACAGAGTGACTCCCGCCTTTATCTGTGTGGTGAAGGTTGTGTCTCAGACACAGATCAGATCTAAGTCTGGACTAAACAGCACTCTAAACAGCTGTCTGTAAGGCTCTACACGGCTTTGTGTGTCTGAATATTGGATGTATATGTATTTCTTTTATTTTTAGGTATCCATATGCAATAATAATAATAATAATAATAATATTAATAATAATAATAATGTGTATGTGTACCGATGATGCAGCCGGCCTGCAGCTGCACCTCCTCTGGAGCGGTCCACGGCTCATAGATAAACCTGGAGGGGAAATTCTTCAGCACAGGCACGTACTTCCTGCAGGAGAATGAACGAATGAATGAACGAACGAATGAATGAATGAACGAATAGATGAATGCATGAATAAATGAATGTATGAATCCTTGAATGAAGTAATGAATGGAGAAATGTGTGAATGGATGCATGAATGGATGAATAAATGAATGAATGCATGAATAGAGGAATGAATGGAAGCATGTGTGAATGGATGAATGATTAAAAGAATGAATTAACGAATGAATGAATGGACGGATGAATGACTGGACGGCTGTATTATTACAGTATGAGTACAAATCACTAAATGGCCACTTTATCAGAAACACCCCGTACAGCTGCAGGTTTACAGTCACAGACTGCAGCTCGTCTGTTACTGTACAGCCTATCAGCCCCTCTACAGCGTTCAGCTCTGGAGCAGGTCCTGCGAGGACGGTGGATCATTCTCAGCGCTACAGTGACTCTGACATGGTGGTGTGTGTGTATGTGTGTGTGTGTGTACCGTATGTAGTGACCCTCAGGGGTCAGTGCGGCGGCCGAAGCGAACAGGGCAGAATATGCGGTTGTACTGGTGGAAGAAGGCGCTGGCGGAGAGCCACATCCAGTTCCCCGCATTTACACTGTAATCAGCGTCCAGCAGGTACTCCTCAAACACCTGCACACAGACACACACACACATCAGACACATGGGCCATATGTACTATATACACACACACAAGTACCAATATGTAACATATACACATACATAAAATAAAGTTTTTTTTCCCTGTTCCTTCTGCTCCCTCTCTCTCTCTCTCTCTCTCTCTCTCTCTCTGGCCCAGTCCTATTTCATCCCTCGCCTCTACCACTCAGCCCTTTGTTTTGAGCATTCATGTCTAGGGGTAGGGTGTCCCAATTCTTGTTGAGATAGAGGGGTGGGGCGAAGTGTCGGGGCTACATGACCCTCCAAACGGTGGTTTTATAGACACTCCAAATGGAGAGATATGAGAAAAAAAGAAAAACTGGCAAGATGGAGAACAAAGAAACCCACCAATTGCTGACGTCTCG